ATATATATATACATAAATCAGAATTAAACTCAAAACATCTACAAGCTTCCCAAATTTGTTACAGGTACATTTGGCAACTTTGTGCAGATAAATACAGTGATTTAATGACAGTTGTGTATTTAATGAGGGTAAACTCATCAGACCTTGTAAAAAGAACAATAAAATCATTCCAATCAGTCGTCTGGATTTGACCTGAGCTGTAATCACTACTTGAAATACTAGAAGCTGTTTTACAGCAGACTCATTTAAAGTTTCTTACCAGTGCGGGCAGCTCACAGCACTTATCTCTACTGGCCCAGGACGTGCTGCAGATGATGTCAAACATCTGCAGCTGGAACTGTAAACACACATATGCCTGATCAGTGTCATTAATGCTGAGAATAAAACAGTATCGGTTACAGCAGAGCACTGCAAAACAGAGAAAATATGAGCATCAGTAAAAGCAGAGCGTCAGCTTTTCTGTTATGCAACGATGTGTGCTGCATTCTGACAGGACACGAGGCGACAGATGTTTTGGCTCATATTTACTGTAAAAGCATTAATGAACACCTGGAATTAAACTGAGCATATCAGGTTTGCTTTAATAAATAAAGAAATACTGGAGGATATGTTGTGGCACAAGGGGATGTTTCAAGTGTTGGGATTAAGAGTTAATCATTTCCAAACTTTAGCAATTAAAGCTGTAGACAAGGCCTTTTAATAAACAGCTACTTTAGTCAAGATGCTGTTAAGTTTAATTAAATCATCCACTCATGAGATGAGTTAATATCCATCCTTTGAATCAGACTTAGTTATCAGATACATAACTAACTGTGGAAAGCTGTCTTTAGACTGAATCTGTTGTTTCAGTCATTTCAGCTTCCTAACCACAAAAAAAGTATATAAGTATATAAACACTACTGATCTGCATCTTAAAACAGGCATAGTGACAACACAAACAGCCTGACCAACTGTAAAACTCTTAAAACTGGTTTTATCTATTTAGAACCACCCTTTAAATCTCTAATGGAAATTAAAGTATATTAAAAATAGGCTTTTAGAATTTACTTTTAGGCCTTGTCTACATCACTACCCTGAATGGTATTGTCTTCATTTACATTTTGTCTGCAGCCATAAAGAAATAATTGTTAATGTTCACATTAATGACATTAAAATACAGAGAAAGAATGTGTTTACCTCCGCTAAGGATTTTTCTAAGACATTTATAACTTTTTTGTTTCTTTGATCATTCCTAAAGTTTCTTTTCACCTATTTATAATTTCAGCACATGATCAAGGTTTATTAATAACAGGATAAGAAAGAAGTAGGACAGATGTGAATACAAACCATTGGAATTAGTTTTATTGTTGTTTTTTGTTTTAGAGCTCAAACGGATAGAGCACAGGCACAACTATGGTAGGCTGTTATGTTATAGATTCTGAAAACTTCAGGCTTTAACATCTTTGGATCCATCTTAAAATGAGTTTAAAAAATCCATTTTGGAATTTGAAATATGTTTTTAAATTTCCTCACAAAAAACAAAAAATCTCCATTAAAAATCTTAAGTAATAAACTTAAGATAAGGTTCTTAAGATTATCTCAACATCCCTAATGTGGTGTTTGGAACTGTGGGGTCTGACTTCAATAAAGTCAACTATTTTATCATCTTGAAAGGTAAATCAATATCAGACCATTGAAAAAGATTTTTCTTCTCTTTTTCTACTATTGTTTTATTATTTCAACAATCCTCTCTTCTTCTTCATCATGTCAGGAGTTTTTGTTTGTTTACATGGCCTATTATAAAAATTAATGACAAATTTCACTTATTTAAAACCATTTCTAAGATAAGTTAAAATACATTTGAATAGTCAGACTGGTCAAGTTCAATTCAGTATGAGAATAAAAGAAAATTTAAAAAATATACATTATTTAACAAATTCTGAGATACTAAAAAAAGCTTTAATTTAGAGCTTTAACTCAGATTCATAATAATTATTTTGGGCTGTATTCCACTTTTGTCAATTGGAAAACTACAGAAAATTATATACATACATAT